GAGGTAGGTAAGGGATTGCATTCCATGTGTAATGTACATGCTACTTCCTTGCTTCCAGAAAGTTAAAATAGTCAAAATAAGACAGGGCAAGTGCAAATGTTTTTTTGTTTTTTTTAATTAAATGCATTTAATATGAGAGTTAGAATAACCAATATGTGTGTATATGTGTGTGTGTATATATATATATATATATATATATATACACACATACATACGTGTGTGTACAAAAATGTCTTTAAATGCCCCTTTAAAACTCATTGCTATTTTTGTAACTATATATGAACATATTTCTGTCATTTGTTAAGTCATCCTTTGTGTGCTGTTTTTGTATCATTATTATTATAGAATGTTTAAAGGGGTACTCTAACCATCACGACAACTTCAGTGATCTGAAGTGGTTATGGTGGCAGGAGACAGTATGCGCATGCATTTCAGCTTGAAACACTTCATAAACTGTGATATTTGTAGTTGTGTGCTGGGGATAGTTGCATCCCCAACACACATGACATTTGTATCCCAGAACTCTGTTCCAGGAGCCCTTAATCATTAATTCTCTGCACAAAATACATCTGTCGTCAGCACTGTAATGATAAACTGTCTATTGAGCATATTACATTATATATGTACATGTGTATATACACAGTCTCATGTATATGAATTATGTTTAAATTACATCTGAATGTCTTGCTTTAGCAAGTTTTACAAATGATTTTTTTTTTGCTCCTTTTGCTTCACATATAAGTCAGGAATTGGCCGAGGTAGCTGAGCCAGTTCCCTGTCCTCCCGATGCTATTTATGGGACAATTGGTGAACTATCGCGCACGAGTGATGTCATGCGCATTCAACTCTCTTTTTTCTCTCATGGAACACTGCAGCCAAGAATCCACATCTCAATAATTGAAAAATTCAATGCAAAACACTCATGCAAGTGAATGGAAGGCAGAGGCGAAGTTGGTTCTCTTGTATATTCATTTCCCATTAATTTTTTTTTCCAATCAATGAAATATTGCTTATGGCTCATACATAAGCAGCATTCCACTGATCCCTAGAAGAAATTTTGATCTGGGCCTCTTGGCAGTGAGCAATGATTTCTACATTAAGAGCCAAAAGATCCTGCATAGAGCAGACACCTGATTGGCTGAGAGTGTCGGCTTATATTTCAGCCAGTGAGCTTAACCATGCATCACCAGAATTAGCTTAAAGAGATACTATAAGCATGAAAACAACATTAGCCTAATGAAGTAGTCTTTTGTATATAAAGAGATCATGCCCCTGCAATCTGACTGTTCAGTCTTCTTCCATTTCGAAGTTACATCACGTTTGTCTCTGTTAATGTGACCCTAGGAAAAACTCTGACTCAAACAGCCTTCATGATAAAAAACATTTTCATTTTCAATCAGAACTTACAGCACAGTGTGTTTACTTTAGAAGCTACCTTCTGCTTTTTTAATTAAACTTTGCTTACACACATGAGGCTGTTGCAGGTTGTAGCAGGCTACTCAAAAAGCAAGAGATAAGACATTTGAAATCAATCACAATTGCAATAAGAGAAGCTAAACATTTTCACCTCTCAAGAGGTGTGTGTGAAGGCTGTGTGAATATCAGCCAAGGGAAATGTGGCAGGGGCTACATAAATAAATTGAATAGTGCACAGTGAAACTAGAGGAATGATCTAGACACTAAAACCACTTAATTAAGCTAAATGTGTGTTGGTGTTTGGGTTGTCCCTTTAAGGCAGAGAACTTCTGACTCTCATGGAGGAGGTCACCAGTTCTTTATGGAGCCTAGGTAAGTACTCAAACCATTAGTAAACTGTTTGACTACTTACATTGAGGGCCCCCAAAGCATACCTGGCATCACAAACACTACAGACTATAGCAGGCATAGGCAACCTTCGGCACTCCAAATGTTTTGGACTACACCTATTTTACACCCAGCATTATGGGTGTAAGAGCATTATGGGGGATGTGGTACACAACATCTGGAGTGCCGAAGGTTGCCTATCCCTGGACTACAGTGTGATGGGGTTTTTGTGCTTGGAATTATTCTTTACAGGGAGTGCAGAATTATTAGGCAAATGAGTATTTTGACCACATCATCCTCTTTATGCATGTTGTCTTACTCCAAGCTGTATAGGCTCGAAAGCCTACTACCAATTAAGCATATTAGGTGATGTGCATCTCTGTAATGAGAAGGGGTGTGGTCTAATTACATCAACACCCTATATCAGGTGTGCATAATTATTAGGCAACTTCCTTTCCTTTGGCAAAATGGGTCAAAAGAAGGACTTGACAGGCTCAGAAAAGTCAAAAATAGTGAGATATCTTGCAGAGGGATGCAGCACTCTTAAAATTGCAAAGCTTCTGAAGCGTGATCATCTAACAATCAAGCGTTTCATTCAAAATAGTCAACAGGGTCGCAAGAAGCGTGTGGAAAAACCAAGGCGCAAAATAACTGCCCATGAACTGAGAAAAGTCAAGCGTGCAGCTGCCACGATGCCACTTGCCACCAGTTTGGCCATATTTCAGAGCTGCAACATCACTGGAGTGCCCAAAAGCACAAGGTGTGCAATACTCAGACATGGCCAAGGTAAGAAAGGCCGAAAGACGACCACCACTGAACAAGACACACAAGCTGAAATGTCAAGACTGGGCCAAGAAATATCTCAAGACTGATTTTTCTAAGGTTTTATGGACTGATGAAATGAGAGTGAGTCTTGATGGGCCAGATGGATGGGCCCGTGGCTGGATTGGTAAAGGGTAGAGAGCTCCAGTCCGACTCAGACGCCAGCAAGGTGGAGGTGGAGTACTGGTTTGGGCTGGTATCATCAAAGATGAGCTTGTGGGGCCTTTTCGGTTGAGGATGGAGTCAAGCTCAACTCCCAGTCCTACTGCCAGTTCCTGGAAGACACCTTCTTCAAGCAGTGGTACAGGAAGAAGTCTGCATCCTTCAAGAAAAACATGATTTTCATGCAGGACAATGCCCCATCACACGCGTCCAAGTACTCCACAGCGTGGCTGGCAAGAAAGGGTATAAAAGAAGAAAATCTAATGACATGGCCTCCTTGTTCACCTGATCTGAACCCCATTGAGAACCTGTGGTCCATCATCAAATGTGAGATTTACAAGGAGGGGAAACAGTACACCTCTCTGAACAGTGTCTGGGAGGCTGTGGTTGCTGCTGCACGCAATGTTGATGGTGAACAGATCAAAACACTGACAGAATCCATGGATGGCAGGCTTTTTGAGTGTCCTTGCAAAGAAAGGTGGCTATATTGGTCACTGATTTGTTTTTGTTTTGAATGTCAGAAATGTATATTTGTGAATGTTGAGATGTTATATTGGTTTCACTGGTAATAATAAATAATTGAAATGGGTATATATTTGTTTTTTGTTAAGTTGCCTAATAATTATGCACAGTAATAGTCACCTGCACACACAGATATCCCCCTAACATAGCTATAACTAAAAACAAACTAAAAACTACTTCCATAAATATTCAGCTTTGATATTAATGAGTTTTTTGGGTTCATTGAGAACATGGTTGTTGTTCAATAATAAAATTAATCCTCAAAAATACAACTTGGCTAATAATTCTGCACTCCCTGTAATGATACAACTTAATATTCCAGCTATTGTTATATTTGTATTATGGGATGCTGTTGGTTGGTTGTAAAAATAGATCCTACTTGCATCGTGACACAGAAATGCTCCAGCTGGCATTAGTTTAATTTGCTGTATGTGGCCAATTTCTCTGTACTCTGTCTTGTATAAGAGTTTTGATTTGTTTCTAAGCTACATTTTCCTTTGTGAAGATTAGTGATGTCGCGAACCCGAAATTTTCGGTTCGCGAACGGCGAACGCGAACTTCCGCAAATGTTCGCGAACCGGCGAACCGCCCGAAACGCCATTGACTTCAATGGGGAGGCGAATTTTAAAACACACAGGGACTCTTTCTGG